GATTTAGATTAGATACTAGGAAGAAACTGTTTACTGTGAGGGTGGTGAGACACTGGAACAGGTTGCCCAGAGAAGCCGTGGATGCCCCATCCCAGGAAGCATTCAAGGCCAGGCTGGATGGGGCTTTGAGCAACCTGCTCTAGTGGGAGGTGTCCTTGCCCACGGCAGGGGGGTTGGAACTAGATGATCTTTAAGGTCCCTTCCAACCCAAACCATTCTATGATTCCATGATTTTTTTTTTTCTCTTATTGTTCTATAAACTGTCTTTATCTCAACCCCTTTTGTTTCATCCTTTCCCCTCCATTTATCGCTCCTCTCCCTACCCTTCTGGGGGACAGAAAGGGGAAGGCAAATGAGAGTCTGTATCACCCCAGTTGCTGGGTGGAGTTAAACCATGACAAAAGGATAAAAGGTTTATCTGAGAAAAGACTTATGTGTTTTAGGATAGACAGCCTGAATCTTAACTAGAATAGATATAATATCAGTTATCAGTAGTTCTGTTCTTTTTTTCACCACATAAAGAAGCATTAGGTATGCTAAATCTTGCCTAAAAAGCAGTAAGCTCTGACACCACTTCTGCTCTTGCAATTTTTATACAAAACATCCACCAACAGGAAGGTGACATTAGGCCAACTAGAATGCCACCTTAATTCTCACCCCATATAAAGACAGCTTCCCTTTTTTCCCCTGGAGGTGTGAAAATCAGAGTGAAAGAATGGATACATGCAGAAACATAGCCGGAATAGTCTACAAAGTCTCGATTTTAGGTTCTCCTTAAACAGAGAAAGGTTACCAGAAGGCAACATAGTAGTCTTTGCTGATGCAAGTAGGCCATGTTACCTCACAGTACAACCTTGCATCAACAAAATATTATGGCAGGATTATGACAGTGCCCCCCTGACAAATTGAATTTATGAAGATTAGAGAGTATTCTTGGTGAATGACAATGGACATTATCTTTTGATAATTTAGCATGAGTCAGATCCACCTCTCATTCACAAAATTCAGGATGCTGTACGAGATGAAGCATGGTTTAATTCCAGGTTAAAAATAGTAAGAAGAAAACACCAGGGAATTTACAAAGTTGTCCTACAAGAGGACAAGACAGATGAACTAAGAAGGATGCTATTTTTGTCAGTCCATTTTAGATGAGGGGAAAAAGGAATCTTACAAGCCTTCATTTACAGAAGGTATGAACAAAGCAAGGCTTTGATACATACAACTTTGGGAATTTCATCATCATGGTCAAAAAGCTCCAAAACAAACTCAGAACTTCTGTTTACAGTATGAATTGTCCGTATTATGACACCTAGAGGTCCTTCGTCTGACCTGCCTCATGCTTTGACATCTTGTTAGACAACTGCCTCAATATACCTTAACTAGATGCAGGGACTGGCCTCAGCAAGACAGGCCGAAATTAGAACCATATTTTCTTTCTTTCTATTTTCCTTCAAGGGAAAAGATTTGGACTATGGAAGTAAAAATGTGAACAAGGAAAGGAAGATTTAGATGCACAACTTAGAAGCTGCAGGTAAGAGAAGAAATTAACAACGAAGGCAAACTGATACTCTCTTGCAGCACTGGACTGTTTCAGTCAATCACACATAACATACAGAAAGTGACCTGAGAAGCAGCAGCAATATGCATGCACTCCAGAAAACAACTCATTAACAGAACATAGAAGCCTACAGGATTATGCGCTCAGCTCAGGGGACAGTAGGGAAAAAAAAACCACAAACCACACACAAAAAAAACCAAACAACAACAAAAAAATCCCCACCACAAGACCACCACTAAGGCAGGGCAGTACCACTACATTATCTGAGAGGTTTTATACCTGCCAAACCAAGAATGAACAGCTAGACTAGCAGAGCATGTAAGTAATATTTTCATTTACAGATACATTAGTAAAAACTAGCCTCTTTACTTCAGGTATTTTCCAGTTAATCTGGACCCCATCTTACCCAACTCAGGAATATCTCTGAGCACCATGCCTCCTGGGAAGTACATTCTAGAGACCTATACCTCAAAATTTAATGGCTTACGATCATATTTTATCCCATCAACCCTCCTACTGTCTGACTTTCAGGACTGAATGCTGTTTCCTCATTTTTTATATTCTGTGATATTTGTAATATTGGCATTTGTACAGATTCACAACACTATCTCTATAAATGCACACTAGTTAAATAGAAAAAAAGAAAAAATTAAAGCAGCACTTAAAGCTAGGGCATGTATATGCCATATCTGCAAGCCAGGCCATATATTTTCACTGATGAAATAGTAGCAGGGCAACACCTCTTTCCAGGAAGACCCAAGCTTAACAAGCTTTGACAGCTTGACAAGACCCACTGAATTTAAAAGTAAAAACAAGAAAACCACTACATATGTGTAGGAGTTCCACAATAGACCTAAAACTGGCAAGTCATAAGCATTTAGACACAGAAGACTGATGAAACTAACACTGGAGGGAAAAAGAAGTTATACTTTTTGCAACTGAAAAGTAATACCTGTGGTGCTAAAACAAAGCAAATTCCCTACACATAAGGTTTACCTAAGTATCTTTGAGGCTAGCATCGGTGAAACCGCCAGCTTTGCAAGAACAGTTATTTGCCTGCAGAGGTGTAAGACTCAAGCCAAATATAATTTTGGTACAACCTCCACTGTAGTAAAATGAAGCTATTTAACACACATTTCAATCAACCAATACAGAATTCCCACATTCAGGAGCTGTCACCTAAATGGTGACACTGGTTGGATCTACCACTGGTTGGATAGATGAGAGGAGGGTGGTAGATGTTGTCTACCTTGACTTCAGCAACGCTTTCGATACCATCTCCCACAGCATCCTCATAGGTAAGCTTAGGAAGTGTGGGTTAGATGAACGGACAGTAGGTGGATTGAAAACTGGCTGAAAGACAGAGCTCAGAGGGTCATGATTAGGGGCACAGAATCCAGCTGGAAGCCTGTACCAAGTGGTGTTCCCCAGGGGTCAGTACTGGGTCCAGTCCTCTCCAATATATTCATCAATGATCTGGACGAAGGGATGGAATGTACCCTCAGCAAGTTTGCTGATGATACAAAACTAGGCGGGGTAGCTGAAAACTCCAGAAGGCTGTGCTGCCATCCAGCGAGACCTGGACAGGCTGGAGAGTTGGGGAGAAAGAAACCTAATGAGATTTAAGAAGGACGAGTGTAGGGCGCGGGACCTGGGTATACATCAGCCCATGCCCCAGTACAGGTTGGGGGCTGACCTGCTGGACAGCAGCTCTGAGGAAAAACACACGGGAATCCTGGTGGACAATAGGATACCCATGAGCCAGCAATGTGCCCTTGTGGCCAAGTGGAGTCTCCTTCTTTGGAGACATTCAAAACCCGCCTGGACAAGTTCCTGTGCAACCTGCTCTAGGTAGACCCACTTTGGTGGGGGGGTGGACTAGATGATCTCCAGAGGTCCCTTCCAACCCCATAAGATTCTATCATTCTATGTATCCTTAAGTACAGTTTTCTCAGCCAGTGGTTTCAATGGTGTCAAAAACTGATTCAAAGGTTAGTCCCATCTGCTATCAAACCAAGCTCTTTTTCTCATGCATTATCAAAACACCTTAATTTTTATTAAATAAGCTGTCAGTGATGTTGGACGCTTATTTTCATGGCTCCTTCTGGGGTAATATGGCCATAAGAAAAGCTGGAACTTCCAACAGTATGAATATCTATGCTTCGGCATAAAGCATGCAAGTTCTTTCCTCTAGCCAAGAAACTTGGCAAGGCTGTAGGACAGACTGTCAACAGAAACTTCTTCTACCTGATAAGTAGACTCACATTTTCCCTATTGGTTCAAAAGAGGACATAAGAGTACTGTACCTGCTGAACACCAATTCTAACAGTGTTTTCACCTTACTTAGGCAGGACTAATGAGGGATAATGGAGGGCTGGTGGTTGGATTCAAAGCAAATCCAACTAAGTCCTCTGTTGTCCCTCATTAGTGCAAGCTTCTCAGCAGTCTCACAAAAGATGCGATGTACCTGTAAGCAGTATCAGTGCAGCCTGATCCCAAACACCTCTTCTAAGAAGTTAATGTGCTACTTCTCCCCAGCTTGCTTGCCTCCTCAACCTGCCAGACCCATTTTTTGATTTTTCCCCTCAGATAAAACGACTTTATATTATCACTTTGCAATAGGTAGCATCTACTACTCTTCATCCAATTCCAAACAGATTGATGTGTCTAAAGGTAAAGAAGAGTAAAAGACGAGTACTGGATAATCTAAGGAGATCTGTTAGGAAGACAGATTCTGACACATCGCTAAACACATACTAGTATCTAGAACCTCAAGCTCAAGTGCTGAACAGAATGAAGAAAGGGAAGTCAGCAAGTAAGGCAGTGTTAGAAAACAAATACGGAGAAAAAAACGTGTGGAACACCCTTCTCGTCATACCTTTTTGTAACAGACTACAAATCTCTAACTGGACTCACTCTGCTTTTCATTTTTCTGTTCATGGTACAAAGCACATGGTGTATCTACACTGGCACTTTGTTCAATAATTTAATATCCTGGCTGAATTCAGGTCTTGAAAGCACTCTCTGTCAAACTTGATGTATTCCCCTAAGGCCTTACAGATAATCAGCAGATTTCCTACATAGTACACACAAACATATTGGGATATACTCCAGCCTTCAAGTATAAAAATATACTTTCTTCCTCCTGTTTCCTTCCTCCTGAAGTAAACTGACATCACAAGCAAAACACTAGTTAAAACTGAGGATAAATGCTCTTGCCGATTCTTTGAATGTTACAGGGCCACATGCAAGTAAAATTTAATTCAACTGGAAAAAAGCAAGCATCCCAAAACACAGAGCTGAAACACTAGAAGGCAGAAAAAGCACTGGTAGCAGGACACTAAGGGGAAAAAAAAGAAAAGCAGAAAACAATCTAAACACATTAAAATAAAAGGCCAAAAGAAAAAAGTAGAATAAAACAGTTAATATCTCAAGAACTTACCTTCAGACTTCAACTTCGTAAGAACAAAAATCAGGTAGTTGTTGAAATCTGGGTATTGATTGAGTTGTTCCAGTTTCTGAAGAGAGAAACTGTTAAGGAAAGTTGAATCTTCACACACAGCATTTATAGTTTTCTGGATACAAAGATTATTAATGAGTTATGTACTGCTGTGTCACTTCAACCAGCTGTGACTGGTTGTATCACAGTATACAGAGTATGAACAATCTAAAAACAGTTTCTGTAATTTTCTTACTGAAGAGATAGCTTTAGTTAAGGGGAAGTCTGGGGAAAAAAAAAAAAAGACAATCCACAAACAGACACAAAAATTAACAGGTCCTTAAAAATATTTGTAAAGCTACACACACACACAAAAAAAAAAAAAGCCTTGTCTGTACAGTTTTAGCTTTCAGGGGGTACACAGAAGCCCGCCAAACCCAAGGAATCCATTGAGACACAATGCCACAATATATCTTTTTTTCCCCCCCTCCACAATATATAAAAGCATTTTAGTATTAAAATACAAGAGCTGTGATTTTGATAAGCTACTCATTTTAATGTTAGACATATAATTTTTTATGATGCTAACTAGCCACAGCCTGAGCTCTCAGCAATAAGAGCCTGTTTAATTGTAAATGCACAGATAGTTGTACCAAGAAGTTCATGTTTATCCACAGTCTCATAAGGAAAAAAAAAAAACACAAAACCCCAAACAACAAAATGCTCTTTAACTGCAGGAAGAACTATTATGTTTCTGAAGAGCTGTGAAGGTACATAGCTGTCTTTCCCAAAATTTGTCACTATTTCTGCCTCACATTTCCCAGGATTCTGCCACTGGCTGGCTAGAGCAGTGATCTGGTATATTCTCCTTTTACCCTGTTCTCATACCCTGGTAGTAATAGGCATTTTGCGCAACAATAATATTTTAAGTCAGTGCAGTATCACGTCTAAGTTTTTAAACCTACTCAATATCATCAGGATGGCAAACAATCAAGACATTTAAGAAAAAATGATTTTTAGAAAAAGTATGATTATTTGCTCCATAAGCATTTACTTTACTTGCCATTTAGCTAAATCTCTAAATACTCAAAGTAGCTAGACCTCAGCCAAATACCTGTATGTTAGGACTTGGTGGCCCCATAAGTCCCTTCCAGTTCTAAAGGATCCATTTCCTTCCAATGGCCAACAGCCACTGTATCATTCCTAGATAATAAGGCTGTTTGCATCAAGAAGCAACTTTGTGGGAGAAGCCTATCCTCTTTCCACTTAATAAGAGAGTAAAGCATACTTAATCACAGCCACAAGCTCCTTTACTGTGAAACACAGAGCAGACGAAATGCAAACAGGAGGATGGTGAGGGCAAATGAAAATAATATAGGACACTCTACATGGCCCCTGGAAATGAAAAACCACACATCCAAAGGTTGTTGTCAAAGGTGCCAAGTCAAAGAACGCTTTCAGGAACATCCAAGAAGTAGGGTAGCACGTTTCAAAATTTTTTTCTTCTTCTCCAAGCTTCAGAAACATAATCACCAAAACAGCCAGCTGAACATTACTAACAACTGTGAATTCCAATGGATTGAGTATGAAGCAGCAGGGGAAGTGAGAAGGAATGGAAAGAGCAGTATTTAAGAGAAATGTAATGAAAAAAATACTGAATTGATCTAGGAATCAAAGAATAGCCTACAGGCCATACTTTCTTAACAACATCTTCACTCACTTTTTCTTTTTTATTGCAAGAAACATCTAATATCTTTGTCTGCAAAATACCTGAAGCATTACAAATTCATAATTTTGTTAACAAAGGGTTTCAGCTAACCTAGACTCCCACTGTTGTATTTGAGTTCCAAGTACCCAAATGTGCCAAAAACAATGTCATAGAGTGAGCATGACAGAATCAACACACTGATAATCTTACCAAAAAATACGGACTAAGAGTACTTTAAACTTAAAACCATTAATCACCACTCTGCTTGGACATACTACTAAGTATCATTCTACATTTCAACAGCCATCACAATTTTTGTGTGGAAACAGTCTCAAAGGACATTTATTTACTTATTTTTAAGTTACAGGATATGGACTGTCAAGATGTACTAGAACATTTTCCTGAATTGATGTATAATACAATGGTAAAAACGTGCCACTTCTCTAACCTCAACATACAAGGACCTCCTTGAAAGCACAGGTACCTCAGCACAGCAGGGAGTTACCACTACCATTTGAAAAGAATTTAAAACGTCAGTTAACAGCACTTCTGTTCAATTTCTACGCATCTTCAAGCCAGAGAGCATTACCTACATTGCCCTGCATTACAATACCTGCAGGTAGCTGCTGTTTTTCAATAAACAAACCAGATGCTACTAAGTTATTTGAAGCAGAGCTTTACAATGTAATTTTACATTAAAGGTACACTACAAACACTGTTGCTATAAACACTTTTATATTTTAAATACTAAAGAGCACTGGTTTAAGTTTGGATCATTATCAGAACACTTCACCTAAACACTTCTGTTTAGGATTTTTCAAAGGAAGCAGCAACATTTTAAAAATCTGAAACATAGCTGCAAGAACAAGAAGATTTAAGATGAAGACTACCTTCACCTTTCAGACAAGAGCAAAAGGCTTCCTAAGCTTGACCACATCTGTTATGAAAGCCTAGAAGAGAAGCATACTTGGCCTCAAATTAATCTCTTAAAATGACAAAATACATATATATGCGCACATATATATGTTCTTACCCACTTACATAAGTTCTGTTGCTTTCTTGTGAAGACCTTCAAGTAAACGCCTTAAATAAAAAGGGATCAAGACGATATCCTTCACAGAATTTCAGGATTTCCAGATATTTCAAAGCACTTGTATGGCTAGCTCAAGGAGCAGGAGGCAGTAGACAAGGGCTTTACCTTTCAAAATCTCTGCTTCTATTAGTCTTAATTTAAAATTTTACTGTTTCAATCTTTGTTCTTTAAAAGCTTGCTATTTCACCACTCCCACAACCAAGAGAGACTCAAGGGGGTAAAAACCCCAACAATCCACACACCACTAACACTAAATACACTGCAGAGCAGCACAAGTAGCACAAGCTCGAGTGTAACGAGCAGCATTTCAGGCTCAGGGTTCCGGGCAAGCAGAAACCGCCTCACAACATAGCAATATGCGCAGTGCCAGAGCCAGCAGGCCAACGAGGGCGTGCAGGCAGCAGCTCCCCCCACCATCGATGGCTTTCGCCTCGAATACCGGCACCAGATTACCTCGGGAGGCCCCCGCCTCGCCGCAGGGGAGAGGGGTACCCCGAGCCGCGCCTCTCGCCCAGCCCGGCAGGCCGCGGGGCACCCGCACCCCTCGGCGGGATCCGCCGGGGCGAGGGCCGCCATCCCGCCCCGCAGCGGCTGGGGGCTGGGCGCTGGCGGCAGCCCAGCGTGGGGGA